CAGATTGGGGCTTTCTATAGGGCTTTTTTTGTTTGTTTTTTGGTTTTATGCACAGAACACAATGAGTACAGTGTTTTAATTTTTTTATTTGAAATAATAGTATGGCCAGTCTATAAGCACTGTTATGCCAGGCACTGTGCTAGGTACTGGGGCTATAAAGATGATGATAATGATGATGATAATAACAATATAACAACAACAATAACAGCTATTTCCGTAGTACTTTGATGTTCACAAAGTGCTTTAGAAATATCATCTCATTTATGCCTCACAACAACCCAGAGAGAGAGAGAGAGAGAGAACTATGCTATTTTTATTCCCATTTTACAGATTGGAGAACTGAGGCAGGAGTTAAGTGGACTTGTCCAGGGTCACAGCTAGTAAGTGTCCGAGGTCAGATTCAAACTCAGGTCTTCTAGCCTCCAGTTCAGTGCTATCTATCCACTGCACAAATATAGCACAATTCCTTTGTTCAAGTAGGTTACATTTTATCTTGAGAAACTATATGTACATGTATAAGTATATGCAGAATATAAATATATATATATGAAAATACAAATTAAAGGTAATTTTGGGAGGGGATGGCACTAATGGCTGGGGGATATTGGAACAGGCTTCACATCAGTGGTGGTGCTCATGTTGAGTCTTGAAGGAAACAAGGACATTGAAGAGGTGCAGTGCATTTTGGGCACGGGAGACCAGGCTAAGCAAGCACAGAGACAGAGGATGGCGTGTCACATGTGAGCAAAGCAAGACCGCTTTGGCTGCATTGTAGAGTGTAGAAGGGGAGCAATGTACAATGAGGCTGCAGAAGTAAGTTGGCACTCTAAATACCAAAGAGATGATCCTAGTGACAGTGAGGAGTCGCTGAAGTTTTTTGTGTAGGAGAGTGACGTGGTTAGAATTGTGCTTAAGGAAAATTAGTGTGACAGCTGAGAAGAGGTTGCATTGGAGCAGGGAGACCAATTAGCAGGCTATTATAGTCAAGGCTGGAAGGTTTTTTTTGAGGGTCTAAACTAAAGTGATAACTATATGAGTGTGGTGAGAAGAGATCAGAAGCAAAAAAAATGTGGTGGAGATGGAAATAATGAGATTTGGTCAGAACATAATCTATCTGACCTTGCTTGAGTAATAACTTAGCTTTGAGGGCATGTGCATAGCCTTTTGAATGAAAGAGAGGATGCTTGAAAGTGAGCAACATTCTCTTTCTTGGTGGTGAAAATTTGGTTCTCTTAGAGTCATAGCATGAGTCTGAGTCAGGGAAGGGAAGGGAAAGGAGATTAGGATTTAGAGGCCTTAGAGGTTCAAAAGCCCTCATTTTACAAATGAAGAAACTGAGATCTGGAGAGGTAAATAATTTACCCAAGATCATAGGTAATAAATAAGTGGCAGAGAACAGATTGGAAATCAGATCCTCAAGCTAAATCTGGCATTATTTCAACTGCATCAAAGTATCTACCATCTTAAACTATCTAAAAATGAGAATGTTCTGTCTCCCATCTAAATGCCTCTGTACCTGCCAATCTTAATTCCTGTAATTTACTCCCTTCTCACTTTACCTTTTGGAATCCCTGGTTTCTATTAAGACACAGTTCAAGTACTTTCTGCCTTTTACTTGAACTGCCTTGAATTCATTTTGTATTTATTTTTATATGTTTCCCTCATTAGAATATAAGTTCCAGAGAGCTGGACATATAAATAGGTTGGTGTAGAAATACATGAAATTCCACAGAGAAACAGGCCAGGGACAGGGGGATTAAGAGAGGGTAAATTTGGAGAGAGAATAGTAATAATCAAAATGGACTTAATTTCAGAGATTGGATCTTAAAGGATGATCAAGGAGGGGAGTGGAAGAACCAGTGTCTGGATCTGAAGAGAGGAGGGCAGAGGAGTTGGGTCAAACCACATCAGTTATGGATGACGAGTATTAATCCTATCCTTTGTCCTTCACTACCACCTTCTGGTTAAAGAAAGGGTTGGGGACAAGGAGGGGGAAACATATAAAAGGATATGATAGAGGATATGACAACAGTCATAACAGTGAATACAAATAGAATGAACTCAAACATAAAGCAGAAGAGAGTAGCAGATTTCAACAATATGTTGTTTATAAGAAACACTCTTGAAATAAGGAGATTCCCACAGATTTAAAATGGGGAATTGGAGCAGAATTTATTATGCTTTCAGGTGAATTCAAAAAAGGAGAGGTGGCAATCCATCTTAGACAAGGCAACAGTAAAAATACATGTGATCAAGAGAGATAAATAAGGAAACTACATTATGCTTAAAGGCACCATAGACAATGAATTAATATCAATAATTTGTGCACCTAACAGTAGGGAGAAATAGAAAAACTAATAATTGGGAGCTTTAATGTGCCCTTCTCAGATATAGAGAAATTTAAGACAAAGATACAAGACAAGAAAGAAGTCTAAGTTACTGGATAGAATTTTAGAACAATTAGATTATTATAGATCTGTGTCAAATAGTGAATAGGAACTTAAATATACATATTTCTATATATACATTAACTGTGCATGACACCATTAGAAAAATTACCGGGACACAAAAACCTCATAAACAAATGCAGAAAAACAAGACATCCTTTATGCCATACCACAGTAAAAATTATAATAAATAAAGGGCATGTAAAGAAAGAACTCAAAATGGAGACTAATATCATCTTAATAAATAGGTGAAAATAAATTCTAGAAGCAACATACAATTTCATTAAAGAAAATGAAGAGAACACATGAAAATTTTTGGGATGTAGCCAAAGTATCCTTAAGGGAAAATTTATACCTCCAAAAGCATTCATCAATAAAAGAGAGAGAACAGATCAATAAGTTTGGCATGATTTTTAAAACCTGGAAAAGGAGCAAAATTTTAAACACCAGGCTCTGTACTCCCCCCCACTCAGGAAAACACAAAATTAGACATTCTGGAAATAAAGGAAAAGAGAAAATTGAAAACAGAAATTGAATTGAGAAATAAAATTAAGATCACATCACATTAACAAAAACAAAATAGACTTAACTAATTTGACCAGAAAAAGAGGAAAATCAAATTGTCAGAATGAAAAAGGAGAATTCACAACAGACAAAGAAGAAATAAAATAAATTATTATAAACTATTTTGCCCAAATATATGCCAAATAAAACATAATTTAAATGACATGGATGAGTATTTATAAATATATAAAACATCCAGATTAACAGAAAAAGAAATAGAGAACTTAGCTCATGCACTCTCAGAAAAAGAAATTGAACAAGTTATGTGAACTCCCAGAGGAAAACACCTTAGAATGTAAGTTCCTTGAGGGCAGGCGTTGTTTCACTTTTGTCTATGTGTCCCCAGCACTTAGCCGAGTAGTGGGAGATGGTTAGTGACAGTTTGATTGCAGTGGTAATGAGTGTCTGTCTCCTCACTGAAGAGACCCGAGTTATCACTTCTTGGGTATTTTATGAGGGAAATCTTCAGTGATAGGTCCCTTCCATCCCTTGAGATGCAGCAAGAGGCAGAGCTAGAATTCAGACTCCAGGCCATTGACTATCAGATCACAGAAAATCAGAGGCCTACATTCTAGAATCTAGACCTTGCCTAGTTCCACTTACTAGCCATGTGGTTTTGTGTAGGTCCTCAGTTACTTAACTTCCCTGAACATCAGTGGAGAGAAAGAAGTTTAGCTAGATCTTTAAGATCTAACCTCTGATGCATTCCTGCAATCTTCTGAAGGTTTTAGTTATCATGAGAGTTCTCTCCTTACCCTGCTTCTCCCCAGCACACAGAATAGAAAGGGAAAATATCTTTCCCATTGTTTGGTGATAGAAACCGCAGAAGAGCTTGGACTCTCAGACTTGTTTCCAAAGTAGGCCAATCAGTCCCTTTGGCACTTATGTCCCTGGTAAAAGCACAAAGAATTCTGAAATGAAAGAACAGCTCCCTCAGAAGAGAAAGGCTGGAAACATTTTAATCCCACCCTTAAGAAATGTCTAAGTCTAGAGGAATATTCATTAGTTTGAGCTTTATTTTCATTTAGGTATGAAAATTACCCTGATTTTCTTGGCTAATCAAGGCATTTTCTGGTTATTCTTGTGTTCCCTGCCTCGCTCGCAGCATATGTGAGTGCATGATGTGTCTGTCCTTGGTACTGTGCTAGGTACTTGGGGAATAAGTGGTAAGAAGAGTCTACAAAGAACAGCATACAACCTTGTACATTTACATAGAAATACAAAAAGTGAATTACAATAAAGACAGCAATAGGGAATTTGACAAAATACATGAGTTAAGTGCCAAATGAGCTGTCCACACAGTAAGTGGCATGGGTTCAGAAAATGAGAAAGATCACTGGGGGTTAGAGTGGATGGGGAAATAAGGTCTGTGCTAATGAAATCTAAAAACAAAGAGCAAGCTGTAGATACGATAAGAACCCTAGAATCATCCCCAGAGAATCCTTGCAGAGAGCTTTTCCCAAGGAGAGGCTTAGCAGCAAAAAAACCAGTTCATTGGGACAAGAGGTGGTTAAAACTAGTGCAGTGACCATGGGCCTACAGAATATAGCAGAACCACCAAAGTGGAGATGAGTCTTTCAGCTTTCTTGGTCCTTCAGCCCTGTGGCTGAGATTAGCTGGCTTTGCCCAATTCCTCATCAAACCTGGTTGACTCAGAAAATTTCAGAATTGTGTTAACAAAGTTTAGTTTCTAGAGACCTGCTTGTAATTTGAACTGGTTAGATACAAATTAGACATTCTTACCTTGTGATTAATTCTGTTTAGTCATGCTATTTATGTTGTTTAGGTTGTCTCATCATAAACATAGAATTTTCAGAGGATTTCTTTTTAAACAAGGTAACTTCATATGATGCATTCTGCTTAACATAGTGCCTGGCATATGGTAGGCACTTAATGTTTATTGATTATTAATGATCACATAATTTGTTTGGAGGTTTTTTGAATGATTTGAATAGAAGTGAAATTAATTATTTTTTGTTTGTCTTTTAGGAAAGGTTTTCATTCCCACATGAATTACGGAAATCCTCCACCCTACTCGGACCCAGCCCCAACTGCCCCATATCCACCATATGTACAGCAACCTGCTGGGCCTCCAGGGCCGCATCCACCCCCTAATGCAGGGTATCCGTATCAAGGCTATCCACAATATGGCTGGCAGGGCGGACCCCCTCCAGAACCTCCCAAAACCACAGGTACTGTAAACATTACATACAGCCCTTTGTCATAGTGGGAAATATTTGCATATTTTTCTTGGCAAAAAAAGGCAGTCCATCTGGCCTTTGTAATAGGGTTCATTCTTAAGCTTTAGTGATTGTTTTTCCTAATTTCTGGGGGATTTTTCATCCCTGGCAAGTGGGTAGGTATCTTCTTGATATTCTGAGCCTCTGTCCTTTGTAGTGTTCTCCTTTGGGATAGAACTCTTGTTTGGCATATTTTCTAAGAGTCACTTGTGGGGGAAGAAATTTGAAGGTTTGAGACTGCTGGTATTTATTCTTGCAATAGAAGAAAGTCTTGTTTTTCAGGATCAGATTGTTGGAGCCAATTCATCTTTAAATTCCAACTCATCCTCATTTTAGCCTTTTCTTTTCAGATATTTTAAACTAGGTTTAAACTAGTTTTCTAAGCTATACTTAGATTTTTACCTACATTTTCAATAGGCCAATCAGAGTTGAAGCCCCCACATTCTAGGCCCTTAATTTTCTGTGCATTTGTTGCTGTGTGGTTCAACTGACCTTAAAAAAAATGACTGTAATAAAGAATCCGATTCTTTATTAAACACTTGTCTTTTCTTTGTGCCAAGTACATGGTAGAATCATAGCCTCTGAGCTGGGAAGCATCTTTGTCTTATCTGTCTCAGACTCTCAGTAAGAATTTGCTGCTTTTATATATCTTCTGGTGTCCAGTTCCCTTTGCAGACCCCCAGTTTGGTTTCTCATAATGACTAGATTCATATTGATTTAGAAACACAGGCTGTCTCTGACAAAAGTCAAGTCAATAAACATTTTTAAAGTGTCGATGTGCCAGCCACTTTGTCCATAGCTTAACTCTTTGGTGGCCTTAGTAACGGAACTGAAGGTTTATTTCTATTCTGGAAGTTATTTTAAACCCTGACATTCCAAGATTTAGGGATTCATCCAAGGTGGGCGTCTCATACTGAAACTCCAGGTCCATAATCATAGAAAAATACTACAAATGGGAAAGATAATAACTTTTAAATCTTATAAATCAGGAACTCCCTAGATAAAATACAACCATTAAATATATTTTGAAGAAAAATCTTGACAAGTACTAAGTTCTGTTTTCTTGGCTTTCTCTTGTAACAGTTTATATTACGAGTACACAGAATAGTGCAGGAAATGTGTCACCAAGTGCTGTCTGAGGAGTAACAAACACAGAATTCAGGTCTTTGGCACTGAAGGGAGAATTTCTAAAATAAGTTTCATAAGCTGACAAGTCTTCTGTTTAACACAAGGCTATCCTAGCATTTGGGGCACTCATCTAGACAAACTCACTCCAGCAGCACGTGGCGCCTTCTCAACGTGACTGCTTATCCGTTCATCAGATCCTTTGTTCCTGAGGCTCATGATGGTTATGTTAATTTCCAATCTAGTAATGCTTTAATTTTATATGCAAGATTGGCTGAGTTCTTTTGCTGATGCTTTGCAGATTTGTAGGTATTCTGTTTTCAAGACATCTAGCATTTTTCTTAGCCGTTAATTTTGAAGTTTAGTGATTTTGTAGTTGAGTGCAGCTTGCTTCGGTTTTTGAAATTATTTTATTTATACCTTTTGTTTTTATATTGGTCATTTGGCACACCCACCCCCAACCCCCAAATTGAACACAATTGACAAAGAAAAAATTAAGCAGTAGAAAAACCTTGCTGGACAAAGTTGCACAATCCACTGTTCTAGTGGTCTCCTGCCTCTCTGCCGTAAAAAAAAAAATGGTATGTTCTGTCATCATTTCAGCCTGTTTTTAGAAGATGCATATAGATTTGGCTCTCCTGTTATTGGCCACATTATTTGTATTTTGGGGAAAAACTTCTGTGCTCCTCAGGTTTATTTGATAAAAGTTTTATGGATACCTTTTGTTTTTATGTCAGTCTTTTCTAGATATGCCCTTCCTACCTACCCTAGTATTAAGCCCTTTTCTGGTGACCAAGAAAAGCTGTTTAGCACAATGAGCAGTTATAGTGATTACTTCTAGCAGTGTATGTAACTTTTTGTGCCTATGGTTCCCCTGCCTCTTTGCCCAGGAGAGGGTGGATTTGTTTCCTTATCTCCTTGGACTAAGATTAGTCATTACAGTCTTTACTACTTCCTTTTAGTGTTTCTTTGCATTGTTATTACTATACTTTTTATTTTTAGTGCACAACAGTGTTCCTTAACATGCATATACCACTGTTTGAAAGAAATATTTTTCCTTTTCATGCTTTCTGGAAATATATAGTGAAGTCTTTTTTCTACATTTCCTGAAGGAGATTGATGTGAACTTAATGTGAAAATGGAATGTAAAATCCTCCCAAGATTTTGGTGGTTTTTTAAAAAAACTAGATTTTTAAAAATATCTTTTCAAGCTTTTGTTATTGGTAAAAGTAGTATTAGGTAGTGAGTGAGATAGGAGCGAGGAGAAGGCTTCCTTGGAAGCAAAGTGTGTGCCGAGTTTGATTTGGGGCTTGCTAAACTTCCTAAACTTTCATCTTCTTGGATTGTGATGCCGTTTTCTATTAGGTTTAGAATCATCGCCCCATCATGGGGAGCTTGTTTGCTTAGGAGTATTTTAATCAGAGGTATAGGGTTATTATATTATGATTTGGCAAAATGCTAGCCAGCATTAGGAAGAGAACAGGAAACCTTGCTGGGTGTGCTGAGTTTGCCTTTGAACAAAGGAGTGGCTGCTGGGTTGGGTGGGGACAGATATAAAAGGAGAAATTTCTGAGGTTAAAAAAGATAGTCAGATTAGAGGTATGCAAAAAGATTGTAGGATTTAATACTGGAATGGAAATTAGAAGTCATAATGTCTAACCCCCATTTTTCGTATAAGGAAATTGAGGCCTAGAGCGACACAATGGTGTGGCCAAAGGTTGTAAGGATAATATGTGGCAGAGATAAGAGTTACTTTTCCATGTAGTTTAATTCTGAGTTTCACTTTGCAAAAAGAGTTACTAAGTCCTATTCTTTTCTCCTTCTTCATCTTTTAAAGACAATGTAATATTTTGTAATATTTTGTTATAGGTTAGTCTTTAATATTATGGGTATAAGTAAATATGAAAAGTGAGAACTGTCTCCTTAGTATAGTTGTGCAAATCTATAGTGCAGTAGAGATGTAATACTGGAACCTTATTGCCTTCCATAATTACAGGCCATTACTGAGGAGTAATACTAGATGAGCTAAATTTAAATAGTCTCTCTCCTTTCTGATTGGATATATCAACAAAAGGAAAAAATGTTCTGCCTCATTTGAAGAAGAGGAAAGGTGAAAAAAGCTGGCATTACTTATTTTAAGACTCTGACCAGGCATTGCATTTCTCAAACATCTCTTTTACCCGAGCTGTTCTGTAACCCTGGGCAGAAAATCTATATTAAAAGTAATTCACATTTCTGTAATAATGGTACCCAATTTATATAGCACCTTCTTCCTTCATAGCAAGGGAAGTAAGTAGTAGAAATAGCATTATCTTCATTTTACAGATTAGAAAACTGAGATCAGTATGGCTAAGTGGCATGTCCACCCACTGCCACATAACTTGTGTTGAAGGTGAAGAATTTTTCAAACCCGGTTCTCCTGACTCAGGTCCTCAGCTCTTTGCAATATACCATATTCCCATGGGCATTTAATCCCAAATTATACTTATTAAATCAGAAAACAATATGATAAGAGCAGAGAGGAAGCTATTTTAAGCATTTGATCAGAGCTCTCTCCTATTAATCGCTCTTAATCTCCTGAGACCCCAGCCAAGTTTTATAAGCAGTAACTTCTTAAATTCAGTTCATCATGACATAATGGAAAGAACCACTTTGGAGTCAGAGGACCTGGGTTCAAGTCTTAACCTGTGTCACCCTTAGACAAATCACGTAACCTCCCTGGGCCTCAGTGCCCTGAGGAAGTAGTGTGTGAGGTGCCTTCAGGTTTTAGTTCTACATTCTTTGAACCTCTCTAAGCCTTGTTTTCTTCATCTACAAAATGAGGTGGTTAAATTGGATGGTTCCTGAGGTCCCTTCCAGCTCAAAATCTATGATACTCTGATCTTTTTGGGCCTCACCTGAGAGCTCAGGTAAGAACAGGACTAGAGGTGAATTGTCTGTGTGTTTAGTGGCTGCAGTCAGGTGGGAAGAGTCATTGCTCTAACATACAAGAGAATGTGAAAGTGACCATAACAAGCAGTGGAGAAAACAGAACTTCATGTTTCTAGCCTTTGCCCCTGATTCTCTGTTCATACTTCTCACTACCATTGAAGCAAATTTTTTCAAATAATTTGTTCAAACTGTGATGTTTTGCCTTTTCAAAAACCATAGCGGCTAGGTGGCACGGTAGACAGAGGTCTACCCTGGAGTCAGGAAGACCTGAGTTCAAATCCCACCTCAGACATTTTAACACTCAGTAGCTATGTGTCCTTGGGCAAGTCACTTAACTAACCCCTCACAGACAAACAAAAAACTTAGCCAAGGTGTTCTTCTCAGCATGCAGGGGTAAAGGAGTGTGGAAAGACAATTGAAGTTTGAAAATTCAGTTTGCTTAGTAAGACTGCTGCCCATTGGTTTGGAACAGGGTGGATATGGTTTACCAATCTAGCGAAACAAAAGGTGTTGGCAAGGATCCCTTTGCCTTCTTTGTTCCCTGTAGAGTATATAATTTTCTGCCTCTGCTTGACTAGTCCTAAAGTTTATCCCTCCAGCTGTCTTTCCCTTTATCCTTATCTAAATTCCCTTTAGCTTAACAAATGTAAAAGGAGAGGTTGGTTTTGATAGATAAGAAGTAAGAGATAAGGAATCAGTTTAAGAAAGGGATTTGGAAGAAACACCAAAAACCAGATCACTCTTAGCACCTGAGGATGAAACTAATAAGACACATATACGTTAAAATGTGTATGGACATCCCAAGTCCAATTTACCTGATGTCAAGAGTATAGTGACTGCTCATGTGTTGGAACTTGAAATAATAAGCCAGATCCAGTTTAATATTCTTGAATACT